ATGAGAAAATTGAACAGAATGCTTCTGGAGTCTTAGAAAGTTCCTGTCTTTCTTATAGACAGCATTCAGCTGTTGCTCCTGTGTTTTTTCAAAGTTGGAGAAGGCCCAAGTTTGCAATTCGACAATTACATGTTGAACTGTGATGAATCACATTTGAATTTTTTCACTTGTAATTTTTACTAAATGTGTAATAGAATTTCTAGATGCCCTCCCCAAAAAACAAAGCAAACTAAACAAAACACAACAACTCACTGTATCATCGCTGTGCCAAGATACGAACAAAAATTTATCGTGGAAACCTGTTAATACAATTATTAGAAAGTTTGTTTCTATGGAGTATATATCTTATGTTTAAGTTTTCTCTACGTGATTATATGGTACCAGGAAATGGGGACTTACCAATTTATTTTCCCTTCTGGTACTATTTCCGGTTTATCTTGTATTCATCTCTTCTCTGTATAATTGTTTACATATTATCTCCCCCATTAGACTTTAAGTTACCTGAGGGTAAAAGCTATGTTTTTGCCTTTCTATTTCTAGCTCTTAGCACAATGGCAGGCACATAGTAGGTGCTTAATAAATGCTATTTTATCAAGAAGATTTATCTGAACTTTTTTTTTTTTAGGTATTTTTCCTTCCTTTTCAAAGCAAAAGCTATTGATTTCCAGTTTCTTGCAGTCTTGTGGGGCTCAATCCTTGCTTAATTGGTTTGCCCTTTCTAGCTGTTATTTAGAGTCACAGAGACAGTCTCCTTATCTGTAAAATGGGAATAATACTAATCGTGCCTACCTGTCAGGGTTGTGAGATCAGATGAGATATTAGCCCAGGGCCTGACACGTAGCAAGGGCTACATCAATGTTAGGGATTATTGTTGTTATTAGTCCTTTCTCTTTCATAGTAGTCAATAAAAGACGGGGAAAGGTCCACGTTTTGAAGTTCTTTGCTTTTTGAGGTGCCATTTTTGAGGGGTTGTCAGTTATGCGTCATGGCTCACTGCCAGAGTTGTCATCTCCCCAGCCTTTCCTCATGGGCCATTCCCCTCCTTGAACCTCCTGCCCACCACCGCGGCAGACTGCTCCGTGTTCCAGGTTCAGGAGCTTTGTCTGGCTTATTCTCCCTCCCCAAAGGCCTTAGCTTAGCTCAGCCTTCCAACAAGAGGACCCTGGTCCTGTAGCAGGAGTACAGGAATGATGGACCAAGCCAGGATCTCAAGTGTCCTGAGACCCACACTTGAACCCTTGCCACCCTTGTGTGACGTGGGACAAGTCGGCCAGTCGCCGAGCTGTAGTTTTCTCCTCCATCAAATGGGGTCATGATGCTCACCAGGTTATTGTGAAGAAATCGCTTTGTGAACTTCAAAGCCCCATGTAAAGTGTTACTGAGACAAAACATCACGTGTTGTGCACGTGGGCCCAAGTCTGAGGTAGGTTCCGTGAAGCTTTCCCTCCTGGTTCTCTCTTTGTCTCAACTTCCATGACATGGACACTCTCTGTCGAGGCTTTCTATGCTCTCACCTCTTAATTACCAAGTGTTCTAGGTGTGTTTCCTTAGGGACCCAGACCCGCACACCCCCACCCCCTGTTCTAGTGGGGACTCCGTCTGTACTGTTCCAGGCTGCCATTTTACTAAACACTATCCTTCCCATGCCACAGTCCAGCCAGACCTGCCTCCAATACGGCATCCCACTTCCCACTGTGTCGTTACCCAAGCATTCTTGGTGCCCAGAATCTACCTCTACCTCACCTTGACCTGTGGGAATCCTGAGATTACAGCAAAACTCAGCTTGGGCATCGCCTCTCACAGGAAGCCTTTCCTAAGTCCCGCAGCCGCTGAATCATCTTGTAGTTTCTTTGTATTTAATTTGTATTTAGTGGTACATGATCTGGGACTACATAAGCTCCCTGAAGGCAGGGATTGTTGCCTTTTTGCCTGGTATCTCCAGGGCCTAGCACAGGTCGGGGCACATAATCGGGACTTAATAAATGCTTGTTGATTGATTGCTGTATTAAGACCAGAACTTTGTTCCTGAGACCTCTGTATCGGCTAGAGCTTCATCACCAATGCTCCAAAATGTCAGAATTACTCTAGGGGATTGGATTTGGTACCCAGCATACTTGCTGGCTGGACCCAAGCTGAAGGCCTCTGTGCCTTCTTAATCACCAATGGGGCAACCTGAACCCTCTGGGGACTTGTACCCACAGGTTTTTAACAGACCTAAAGATTGCCCAGGAGTCTGCCATAGGACAGAACACTGGGTCGCTCACAGCAAACACCGGCTCCTACCCCACTAAAAACTCCTTGACTTAAGAGTCCTGCACGTTTGTGCATTTGCCAGTAGCTCATTCTTCTTTATGCTCTTTTCTCCCCATAATTGTCAGATCGTTTTGTGCCGGTGGTTCTTCCTGTTTACACTGGTGTTTTCTTGGTTCTGCAGCCTTCTCTCTGCTTCAGTTCATGCAGTTCTCCCTGTGCTTCTCTATTCATCATTTGTCACGGCACAAGATTCCATTACATTCATGTGCCGGAGTGTGTTTAACCATTTCCAGGCCAGTGGGCACTCCAGCACCTTGCTACCACAAAGAGGGTGCTGTCACTTCTGTGACTCTTTGGTGTTGTTCAGCACTGTCAGTTACCTCCCAAAGACGGGAGGATTTTAACTTGTTATTTTTCACAGTCATCCGGTGAAGTGAGCTGAGTGCGGGAGTAAGAACGTTGAAACCAGTCCCTGCAAGGTCCACACATCAAGGGGACTGTCCTGGAGGAGCATGAGGCCGGCGCACACTCCAGCCACCTGCTTCTTCTCTGTTTGAGGAAGTTACACCATGCTGCAAAATCCTTTCATCTGTTCATTTTGGAAGGCGTGTTGCTCAAACAGAACACTCTCCAAAGCCTTTCAAGACCGATTAACCTGCTGGCTGGGAGAATATTTTCTGTTTCTTCTGTTTTCCATCCTAACAGATGTAGCAAGAAGAGGCTCTAGCAGTTTGCCATGAATTTGGCTTAAAAAGAAAAAAGTCCTGCTTGGAAACATGGAAAAAGAGAAGAAGAGGGCCTGTATGTAGATGGGCAGCCCTGTCCTTGGCTCGTTGGGGCAGTGGGCAGACGTTTGGGTGTGACCCTCCCGGATGGGCCACCTCTCTGTGGTTTAGGGGACTCTCTCAGATGCAGCTCCCGAGTCACAGGCTGTGAGAGACCTGGGGGCAGGCCTTGTGGCCCCTGGGCCCAGTGCAGTGTCTGCTGTCTCCTAGTTGCTTAATAAATTGTATCGCTGGAGAGAGGGCTTCCCTGTGCTGTCGGAATCTTAGATGTTTTGCATATGAGAATGAACAGTACCATAAAATGGAACTGAGGCCAAGTCTGTTTAGTGTTTTTGGCCTCAGTTTCTCTGTCCTAGAAGAGAATACAGGGACCAGTTTTAAAAAACAAAGGAAAAAGTGAAATTCATACAATTTAAGCTTTGAATTAAAAAAAAAAGCATCTATTAAGCACTTACTGTTTGCTACGTTTGCACCATGCTTTCCTCAGAGTGCCAGGATCGCAATCCCCGTTTCCGAGTGACTTGTCCAAAGTTGCACAGTGTCAGAACTAGAAGTCAATCCCACATCAACCCATCGTCCCCCCCTTCCGTCTTCTCTCCTGCCTGCAGCGACTGACCCAGGTCGCCATGCTCGTGTTTGCACCGTGCTTCTTAGCGTCAGTGAGAGTGCGCGGCGTATTGGACGTCCCAATCCCCTCCTCACTGCCCATCAGATACCTTTTGCCTTATTCATATTGTTTCTCAGGGAGGGTTACCCTTCTCATGAGTCGCTGAGCTCAGTGCCTCACACATAGTAGCTGCTTAACGGTATTTGTGCATTTATTTGTATTGAGCCTGTTTCAATTAATAATTGAGCTGTTTCAGTTACCAGATAGAAGCCCTTGACAAACTTGGGAGAATTTGCCTTGTTAATTAGGGGTTTGCTTTGATCATAGGAGGAGTGGCTTTTAACCAAGGGATTTTGACTAAGACGGAATTACAACAAATGCCACTTTTTATAGATTAAAACCATTCTCCTATGACTAATAGAAAAGTTGAAAAATATATATGTTCTGACAGTATTCTGATTACCGTGTGAACGTGGAATCCCTAGAATTGAAAACTTAAACTTGAGTTTTTCTTTTGCCCTTGAAGTATAAAAATTCTGTTATGGCTTTGGCGCCTTCATTTCTTCCGTTACTCTGGTTTGGAAATTCTCTTTGTCTCTTTCCTCTCCCCTGTTCTCTCTCATTGGTTGCCATTCCTGTCAGTTCTGACTAACCAACATCTCCCCCTTCTCTCCAGTCTTGTGGCTTCCACGCTGGCTAGAGGGCTCATCACCTCCTGCCTGGCCTGGTGCCCTGCCTTCTATTTGGGATACCAGTTTCCCCTCCTCCACACAGCTGCTGGAATCAAGCATGGCTCCCACCTCTTACCTCCTCTGCTAAGAAGCCCTCAATGCCTCCCTATTATCTTGAGGATAAAATATCCCCCACCCCCAGGGGGCATTTAGGGCCCCCCACAACCTGGCTGCTGTTTGCCTCTGTAACCTCATTTCACACTCCCCCCTCACAAAATCTGTTCCAGCCAAACTGGATGATCCCATCTCCTCTGATGGTGACGTGACATCTTCTGCATCTGTGCATCTGTGTCATCCTCTCATGCCTGGAATACACTCCCTCCTGATTGCTGCCACTTGGAATTAGTGCGTCTGGGTAGAAGTTCCTGATGCCCCTCCCTGGCTGATCCTCTTCTGTCCCCCGTCAAATATTCCTAGAGTTTTTGCTCCTGCTTCTAAACAGTCTTACCTGTGGATGTATCATATACCCCCTGGTGGATTGGGAGGTGTTGGAGGGAAGGGTCTCTGTCATTTTCATTTTTGTTTTCTTCTTCCCAGGACCCTGCACACAGTAATTGCTTAATAAATGTGTGGAATTGAATGACTTGATAATTACTTTGTTTTGTTTACTTCCTGTTCCTTCAGGTCGAGACTTGATTTGTATCCAGTCCATGGATGGGATGCTCATGTTGTTTGAACAGGAAAGTTACGCGTTTGGGCGGTTTCTCCCTGGTTTCCTCCTGCCTGGCCCTCTCACTTACAGCTCCCGGACAGATTCCTTCATTACCGTCTCTTCCTGCCGCCATGTTGAGAGTTACAAGTAAGTGTCCTTTGGAAGTCTCTGGAAGTGCTTTCAGGTGTACGCACTTAGGTGTTGATTAGGAGCTCAAGTGGGGGATTGTGAGAAATGGCACATGATTTTGGAGAATCAGCACTGCCTGTGTGTATAGGAAGAGGAAGAAAGAATTGGAGGAGTTGGGTCTGGTGTAGACACTGCTGCTCGAGTGAACTCAAACCACTCTTCATGTTGCTGGTAAGAGGTTCCAGTGCCCCAGGGGACAAGGCTTCTTTTTCCTAAGGAAATTTCCCATTCCTTAATGAACTTTGTTTGAGAACTTTTTGTTTTTTTCCTAGCTAGAACTACTGTATACTTCAGCAAATGAGAGGGTCAGTAGTTCTCAGTGAAGAAAGACAAGGACGGAATACAGAAAAATCCAGGGAAATAAAAAGCCACGTCATCTCCCCCCCCCCCCCCCGGCCCCGATCTCTGGCCAAAAAAAGTAGCATTTTAGAGTGTGAAGGGTGGGAGGTGCAGCATCACCACCCCAGTGTTCCTCATGGCCACCAGCAGTGAAATGGGACTCATCTTAGAAATGCCTTAGGTTCCTGGTCTTCACTTTGGCTCAGGAGAAGCAGCGGCTGGGTGAGCTTAGTTCGGCTACCTCTAGCCCTTACAAAGGAGCACCCAAGTCTAATGTGCAAATTCCTTAAAGTCTGAGGACATTTAGGGGCAAAAGGTGGTGGGTCTGTACCTTCTCTCCCCAGGTTACGTGGGGTATGCAGCCCATCTGACTACTCCGACCTTGGCTCCTGGATGGCGATGGTGCTGGATCGGTCATCAGCATAAAGATAGTCACTTTGAGAGCTTGAGGGAGATAGCCGGCCACCTGGCCCACGCCTGTTAGAGAGCCAAGCCCGGCTAGCCAGGCCTGCTTTTCACTTCTCACACAGGGTTGGAATTGCTCCGTGCCAAGTGACTGTCTTGGCAGGGCTGCCCTCCTCAGTAACAATAGAAAGGCCTGAAGACTCCATTACTTCTGCTTTGAAATATGTGTGTTTGAATTAATTGGTAGTAGTTCCAGAAGTGATTGGATAAAGAAGTGATGTGTTAGTTTCCTTAACTTGCGGGTTTAATCTCACCGAAGCCCCCACTGTTCTTGGGGCCCAGCCTCGCCGACATTCCATTCCACTCAATTCATCTCCTTCTAGGATGAAAAAAAGGTACATTTTCTCCATTGGGTGGACTTGGTAAAAATGCATGGGAGATGGATTATTAGAAAATGATAAAAAACCTGAGGGCTTCGGGGGCTGGATGCAGTTTATAATTTCATGTGTCTTTGTGTACGGGCCTTAATGTTTAAAACATTAAACTTACTTCATGACAACCATTGACGCAGTTCCCTACTGAGTGAAAACTCACCGAAAATGCTACATTTGCTCCTCTTGGCTGCCTCTGGTTTGCTGATTACTCACCACACAGGGCAGTCCGGGTCATCGGAATTAATTGTTTCCCTGATATCTATTTTTTAAAAATTTCATATGCCATTGCTGCTATAAGATTCTTATGCCTAAATGCAAAATTTCTGTGGGAATTGTGTGCTTGTTTGGGGAGCGGGACATGTTGGGGGGGATATCTTATAGCTGTGAACTTTCCTTCAGAATGGGAAGGGAGCCTGATCGCTTTATGCAGCCCCTTCATTGGACAGGCGAAAAAAATGAATATCGGGAGCGTGTCATGCTGAGCTTTGGACGGTGTCGGGGCTCCCTGCTTTTGGGGTTCCTGATCAGTCATTGGCCTTACGTCACAGTCACACTGAGCGGAAGGTTACAGCCTCGACTGCCTCCCATTGATGCTGTTCCCTGTGACTTTACTTTCTATAGTTTTATAGTAGAGATGCTGATGTGCCTTGGAAGGTGCCAGGAAGCACTCTCCTGGTACCGTGGAGCTGGCGTGGGAATAGATCCAAGAGTGTGCCATTTCTGGGCAGTGCATTGCTGCTCCCTTCCTAGCCTCCACACCTGGAGGTCATTTTTGGCTCCTCAGTCTTCTTTGCCGCTTGGCTTTGAGAAGTCCTGCCTTGGAATTGACTCCTGTGTCCATGCGTTCCTTCCCATTCCTGCTGCCATCTGGGTTGGTGCTCCCATCCCCTCATACCTCCTAACTGCCGTTCCTGGTTCTTCCTTGTGCCCTCTGATCTCTCTGCCATGAGGTCAGTCCCTCAGACAACACCACTTTTACCCTATTAATCTCCCGCCCAAAGATTCCACTTGGTACTTGTTTCCTTTGAGATAACAGCTGTATTCCTCAGCCTTGTTTCTATATATTTCATCATCCAAACCTGTCCATCCATTCAGCATTTGTTAAGCACCTTTCATATGTAAATACTGTGGAAAGAGAGACAGCAATAAAAACAGTCCTTGGCCTCAGGGAGCTTCCATTTAATTGGGGACATAAAATATTCACATAGGTTAAGAAAGTAAGCAAGATAATTTGAAGAGAACAAGAGCCTTCCCAACTGGAGGGGTCAGGAAGAACTTTGTGTAGGAGAGGGCCCCTGAGCTTGTGAAGGAAGCTTGGTGGAGGCAATGATGGCGTGTGTGTGTAGGGGGGGAAGGGAATGGTCACTAAGCAGGGTGGACTACGTCATGTTGTATGTGAAGGGAAAGGCGATGAAATCAACCTGGAAAGGTAGGTGGGAGCAACATTGGGAGGGGGGGAGCTATAAAGGCCAAGACTCATGTATCCTCGAAGCATTAGGAAGATCCTTGAGCAGAGGAATTAGTTGTGTGGGTCAGAGAATAGAGAGACTGCATCCAGGGAGACCAAGTGGGAGGTTATGACATTAGTCCGGGTGAGAGGTGAATGAAGGTAGGAGCCTTTGTGAATGCAGGTGAAGGGACAGATGTGGATAACATAGAGGCAGAATCAGCAAGAGTTACCTCAACAGAAATGAGGAGATTTGGTGGAATAGCAGGGGAAGGTCAAATAACGAGTTGGGTTTTTAAAATGGTGTTTGAGAGGCTGGTGGGGCATTTAGGGGGAGATGTTTGGCAGGCAGCTGGTGGTATGGGATTGGAATTCAGAACTGAGATGAGGAGGGGTGTGTGTGTGTGTGTGTGTGTGTATTAGGAGGCATACATATACATACATGTATATCTGTCTATGTGGTATATATATACACACATATGTATCCAAACATATATATATATATATTTACATGTATCCATATCCACACATATATGTATATGGAGAGGGAAATGGCAAACCACTCTAGCGTCTTTGGCAGGAAAACACCAAATGGGTCACGAAAAGTTGGACACAACTGAAAATGACTCAAGAACAACAACATATATGTGTCTATGTGTGTGTATGTGTGTGTACACGTGTCCATATATGTATGTGTCATCTACTTAGGGACAGTGTTTTAATCCTTGGGAATTAATGAAATCAGTCAGAGAGTGAGCAGTATGGAGAGACAAGAGGACCCAGGGCAGAGTTTTAGGGGGACACCCAGGCCTGGTGGGCAGCAAGAGGAGGAAGCTGTCGAGTGCAGGGGACGGAGGAGAGGTCATCTGCGAGGGAGGAGGAGAACCAGGAAGGAGCGGCGTCACAGAGGCTGAGTGAGCAGAGCGTGCGGAGGCTGGGGCCGCGTGATGGCCAAGGACGAGAGGCCTAGGAAGAGGAAGTCCAAGGAAACGCTCTCATGTTGAGCAGGGGAGAGTCACTTTAGTGGAGTAGGGGCTTGGGAGGCAGAATGCAGGGGATTGAGAAATGAAATGGAGGCAGTGAGGACGGATGCCTTTTTCTGAGCCCTTGACGAGGTCCTGACCCATAGGTTGAGGGAGAGGCAGGGTCAGGTGATGGGTTGTTTAGGATCGGGGGCACCAGAGCCTGTTTGTTGGCAGCCAGGAACATGCACATGAGTGAGGAGATGTGGAAGATGGGAGGAGGGAGGAGCGACCCTGGTAGGCTTTCCGAGATGGGAGGACACGTACTCAGAGGATCCAGTGGGGGGGTTGGTCTGGTGCAGAGGAGAAGAGAATGAGAGATGCTCAAGGTGTGATGAGGGCCGAAGAGAATGCTCATGGCGGATGGCCTCTCTTTTCCCAGTAGAGTAGCACGTGAGTTTCTGTGCTGAGGAGAGACGGTCTAGGAAATGTGAGGAGACAGAAGAACTGTCAGTGGACCGTGATAGAGAATCAATCGAAGAGGCACCCAAGGATTTCCATGTAGAGCTGTTTGTTAAGGCGAGCCCGGCCACCCCCAGCCCCCCCCGCTGTGCCCTTCTGCAGCAGCGTGAGAGCTGGGGAGGTGTGGGGTTTGCTTGGCAGTAAGCAAACAACCCCCTACCAATACCTACTTTTATTTCTGACTTCGTCACTCCCCCAAGCTCATGCCCGTGTTGCTCTGTATTTGGTCCTGCCTCCCTGCCTTTGCTTACGCTCTGCCTCCCATCTTTTCTGTCTGTTCTAGTCCTACCCGTCCTTCAAGCTCCAGCTCTAGTCCTGTTTCCTTCTGGAAGTCTTCTGTGATGACTTTATCCAAAAAATTCTGCTCCCCGCACCTCGAACTTCACCTGAAATTATATTGTACATAATACTCATTTCTGAACTCCATAGGACTTAATCTTATGAGTCACTGTTTGCTGAGCCCATGGCCTGCCTTCCCAAGAGGGCTTTAAGCCCGCTGAGGAAAGGGACCATCTTTTAAACTTCTCTGGGACCCTCTGCTGCATCTAACGTGGTGCCAGAGCCAGAAGGGGCCCTGCTGTCGGTATTTGTTACACTGCATTGGCAAACCTATTTAGCAGTGTAATACTTGGCTTGTTCAAAGTCAGCTCTGGGTTTTATAAAACAGTGACTTGATTTAAGCAGTCTGTCTTTTTCCGTATGAGCTGCGGGATCTGTGCCTCTTCAGGGAGCACCCTTGTGGGTGAGGACACAGATCCGTCAAAGTCATAGGACCATAGGTTCAGAGCAGGGAGGGAGCTCGACATCCCCTGCTGGCTGGTCCCCTTATTTTAAAAGGGACAAAATTAAGGCTTCAATGAGTAAGTAACAAAGGTGGGATTTAAAGCCAGGTGCTCTGATGTCAAATCCAGACACTTTGCCCTGTGTCACATTTGCCCCTCTGCTGAAGTAAGGCTATCTGGAAGTAGTGTGGAAATTGAGGCAAGGTGAGTGGAAGCCACCATCTTGGTCGTGAACCGTGGGCATGTAAATCAAAAAGGACTTTCTGTCACTGAAATCTCAGTGAAAGGCTTTTTGTAAGTTTCAGTTAGGAAGTTATGTACCCATAATTAAGTTGTTATTATGAGCTGAACTGAAAATACTAGTTTCCTGCATGCAGATTGCCTGCTTATCTCCTGACACTTTCAGTTTTTGGAATGGAGACCCAAAGTCATCTCTGCATCTTTCTATGACAGGCAACTTGCATTGGAAAATAAATGGTTTGGGCTTTCTTACTTTTGAAATCCATGGCATCTCAATCCTGACATGCTGTTTTTATGCTGTGACATAGGGGAGCTCTAAATTACAGGGCAGCTTTTGGCATCGGTAGCCCACAGTTGCTCTGCTTGTAGGCATTTGTGGCTGGCTTGTCAGAAAACACTGCCATTCATCCTTGCCATGACTGTGCTTGTGGTTGGTGGGACCCTTCCCCAAAAACCATGTGCAGAGCTCTTTCATAAGTCATCCCCCACTGGGCCTCATTAGTCTTTCAGCCTTCTCCATGAGGGAATTAGAGTCTTCAGCTCTTATCCCTGAATGCTTTTGAGTGGTAAGGGGAAAAGAAAAGATTGAGTTATTTTCCTGGCATCTGAATTCCCAAGCTCTCTTGGAATTGTTTTTAAATATAAAATTAGACGTAGATTTTTATATGTGTTATTAGTCATAGTCAAAAAGAGGTCAGACAGCAAGAATTGCAAAAGAGATGCTGTTGTCAATTTGTCATCATCTAAATTTACTGTTTGTTATAGTTAAGCTGTGAAATCCTGTTCTGATTTATCTTCCAGGAAGAGAAATTGATCTGGGCTTGGAAAGCAGGACTGTCTTTTGGCTGTGGCTCCAACTGAACTTTGGATTTTGATGAGGCCACTTTAGGGGCTTAACTCATTGAAATAATAACTCTTTGTATCGGTATAGAGAGTTTCTAAAAGCCCAAGGAGCTTTTAGTTTTCAAAAACTTGTTCATTAGTCTTAACATCACCCAATGATAGGTCTATAGTTAAATTTACAGAATTTCTGAGCTGGAAGGAACCTCAGAGGCTGTCGGGTCCGATGTGTCCCTCTGTAACATACCCAGTGCCCATAAGTGGTCATCCTACTTTGGCCTGAAGACATCCCCAACTTCTTGAGGCAGCCCAGAGGATTAGAGAGAATTGTCATACATGAAGCCCCAATCTGCCTCTTTCAGTCCCTACCCACCGTACCTGGTGGTGCCCTCTGGGCCAAATAGAGCAAGTGTGGCTTCTAGACATGGCAGCCCCTCACATACCTGAAGGCCAAGGTCAGGTCCCTGCTATCTTTTCTTCTCCAGGTCAGATATCCACTGTTTCTTCAATTCGTTCTCCTGCAGCATGGCCTTGAGGACCTTCATCATCCTCCCTGCCTTCTTCATGTGCTATTCAGCTTATTCGTGCACTTCCTCAATTGTGGTACCCAGAGCTGAAATAATATTTGAGATACTGTTTACCTAGGCCAGAGCTCACTGGGATTATTCCACACTTCTTTTGTTCTGGACACTGGGCCCCTGTCAGTGCAGCCCAAGACTGTCATGAATGTAGTGCTTTCACTTTAGGATTGGTGGAGATGAAGCATTGAGAGAAGTGGGTGAGATCAGAGAAGTTAGAAGCATTCCAGTCTGCCCCTCTCTTCTAATCCTGCAGCCCACGCTGTTTCTCTTAAGAGAGATGAAGAAAGCACTTGCTAAACACTTACCTGTGTGCCAGGCCCAGTGTTGATAAGTGCTGGGGATCCAGAGACAAGCCAGGTGATCTCTGCCCTCTGGAAGCTTACATTCTAGTGGAGGAAGGCATCCTATAAAGGGAAACTGGAGGGATGGTATGAGCAGGAGGCAGAATCAGGCAGAAGCTCACACATAGAACCTGGGCACCCAGGGGCAGAGGAAGGCAAGGATAATGGCTGAAGTGTGTACAGCATGGTGAGGAGATGACCCCCAAGTGAAAGAATGGCGGCCATGTGATATGGCGGGTGGAAGCTGGGACATGTGGCCTGCACAGGCAGCATTTGTGGGGCCTTTTGCAGTTTTTGAGGCCCATGTAACATTGTGGGGAGAGGGGACATGCTTTCAAGTAAAGAATGGATTTTCACGAGGGGCTTGTGGACTCTGTCTCATCTCCTATGCCTGAAATTAGGGCTTTTCTGGAAGACGGAAGCGTTAGCCCATGGCATCAGAAGGATAACGGTGGTGGTGGTTTGGGCAGCCCACTGTGCACTCATTCAAGCCCCTTCTGGGTGCACTATCAAACCTTTCCTGAGCATTCTGGGATGCTTCCAAGCCTCACTTCCCAGTCCTGTGGATGCCTTCAATGTGGAATGGCCCATTAGCTTGGGGAGCTGTGGATATGCTGCAGATAAACCAGGCTGGCATGCAGATTTTGCCAGGGAGCTACAGATGTGATGTTGACTCTCGCCATGTAGGTCTTGTTATGCCGTGCGGTCTTGGAAAGAAATGCTACTGCATTTGTCCTGGGACTTAAAGAAACCAGTGTGGACCTGCTGGAAATTGGCTAGCAGGGCTAGCAAACAGTACACTGGCTTCTCTTTTCTCCTCATGTTTGAAAAATGGGAATCTGAGTGTTGGAGAATGCCAAGCAATCCATAATCGGGCCTGGTCTGATTTTTCTCTTAGCCTAACATTTTGGTGAAGTAATGGGAGAGGAAGTAACTCCTAAAACTGTACTTTTGCCTCTTGTTCCAGTGGAACAAGGTGGACATTATACCAACCCAGTAGGTAATGATGCTAATATAACTGAAATGTGCAGCCTAAATGAACAGCGGTCAAGTTAAATGATGGATCCCTCCCCACCCTCCCATAAATGAAATTGTTCTAAGAATGGTATGAACCCAACAGTCTTGGTGAAGGAGAAGGTTCAGATCATTGGATCCCAGTTCTAGGGTGGGAAGGGGCTTAATGGGGTCATCCAGTCCAACCCCCTCCTCTTACAGATGAGGAAACCGAGCCTCGGAGATGTTAAGTGACTTATTCAGGATCCCACAGGCCATTGTGAGAGCCACCCTTTGGCCCCTTCCTTGGATCAACCGTTTCCTCTGAGATTCTCCGTGTTAAGGACAGTGCCCAGGTTGCCATATCGCCATCCTGCTTCAGGCTGAACCCCTACTCTCGAGACATCATCCACTCTACTACTCCCCTTTAGTCTGTAAGCTTCTTGAGGACCGGGGTGGCGGTGGGTCCTTCAGCTTTTTTTTTGTATGCTCAGCACTTATCAGCCCCGCACACAGAAGGCACTTAATAAATGTTTGTTGACTCACTGATGACTGACTAAGCCATACTGCAGCTACGTAATTTAGTCTCAGGGTGCGTGTCAGGACCTAGAGTACTTAATATTACAACTTATAGCATAAAATTTTACTACTTTCCAGTGAAAACCTTGATCATGATTTACAGGCAATTCAGGGTCAAACTCCTTCCCCTATTTTAACAATTTTAATGTAGGACTTTAATTTCTTAATATGGTTTTTGACATTTTATTCTCATGGCCTAATAAAATTCAGGGCAAATTCCATTTCTGCTTCTTCTTTAAAAGGAGTCCTGTACGCAGTGCCCAGGACCACATCTACGTACAGCTGTGTGCTCAGATAGGTTTTTGTCTCTGTCTTTCAATCAGGTACCAAGTACTTGCCTTTGCAACAGATGCAGATAAAAGAGAAGATACAGAACAGCAAAAGCTTGGCGCTGGAAAAAGGCTGGTGGTAAGCAAAACCTTTTTTATTTTATAGGTCATGTTTATCAATGAAGTATTAGAAGTGATGGCATTCTGCTCATCATTGACTGACATACAATACGTGCAGATCATTATGCCTGTAAATAGTTAATTGTCAAGCATTCATTAGGTGCCGGTTTGTGCACCAGGCACTGTGCCAGACCCTGAGATAAAAAGGAAGACGGCTTGCCCCAAATTGCCCACATTTCACAGGGGGAACACAACACCTACCCAACGTGCACAAAGGTGTGCAGAGCTTCAGTGCCACTGGGGAGCCTCACAAAGGCTTCTTGTAGGTTGAGGAGGCGGCGTTTACGCTCAGCTTTTATGGACACAGGAGGCCTGGACAGAGGCATGGAGGCAAGACTGGGTGTTGTGTGTGGATGACAACAGGAAGCTGTAGTGCGAGTGAAGGGAAGTCATGTCGAGGAAGGGTTTTAGATGGCCCGGAGAAGATCCCAGTTATTCCGATGACACACACCGGCTCTCTTACTCCGAGTGAGACTCGGCCTCTTGGGGCTCCAAGCAACCCTTTCACACGTGAGATGCTGATGAGTGACTGACCCACCTTGGCAGAAGGAGTTTCCTCTCCTGGGACTTCCCTCCATCATTGAGGTAGCATTTCCATCCCTCTCCCTATCCTTGGCACAAACAGGTATCATTGGAACAGGGTGTCATGGTCCAACCTGAGCTTTAAGAAAATCACGTAGGCATTTGTGGGGAGGATAGATTAGGGGGCAGAATCGACAGGGGAGTAATTGTGCCTGGTGTTCTCTGCTTTTGCCTCCTTTAGTCTGCATCAGTTCAGATCGGTCTTCTTGGTTTTCTCTGAATTCCTCCAGGTTGTGGTTTCTTAAGGCACAACAATGTTCCGTTAGGCTCTTGGGCCAGTCTGTTGGGTCACTCCCCAATCAATGGGCAGCCATTTGGCTCTAGTTCTTTGCTACTACGTCGAGTGCTGCTGCTGGGAGTATTTTGTCAGATGAGAGGAGCAGTGTTCTTTCCCATGCACCACATTACTGCGGTCCTAAAAAAAGCTTGGAGAGTTCCACATAAGACAGTGGAAGCAACTATAGGATTAGAAAATATGACCTATGAGGAAAAAAATCAGAAAAATTGAAATTATTTATCCTGGAGGAGCTTCAGTGGTGACCAGGAAATTGGATTAAGTCTTATCCTGAGGAATTCAGGTTAGACTTCAGAAGTCTGTCACTGAGCACTAAAGCATTTTACCAAAGGAAGTGATGGATGCCTTTTGTCTGGACAGATCAGGATGTGTCAATGTGAATGAAGAAATGATAAAGAGATACTCTTCTTCCTTCAGTGACGTCTGGAGTCATGGGGTTTGTTCGCTGGCCTAGAGCTCGGAGCTGATGACTCCAGGGTCCTCGATGGGTCCCATCTGGGTCGATGAGCTGGGCTCCATTCCATGACTCCCAGGAGAATACCCTTGCTCCAGGCCCTTGTCTGATGCACGCACAGCCTTTCTCAGAATGGCCTTGGCGGTGGAGGAGACCGGCTCCGTGGTGCGTGGTGCCGAGGGCATCGTGCTCATATTCACGGGCTTGGTCCCGTCAGAGTCACCAAGAAAACGAAGGACTCAGGCCTCCGTGGTGGGCAGGATAACCGGAAGTGGCACGATGCTTTCGTCATAACAATAACAGATGTTTCTGTGGCACTTCAAGGTTTAGGAAGTACTTTCTTCACTCTGTGAAGCAGGTTGTGCGAATGTCATTATGCCATTTTACCATTGAGGAAATGAGGCTCTAAGACACTGGGACTTGCTCAAGGTCACCCAGTCTCTGGTGGGATTTGAACCTGGGGCTCCTGACTCCAAGCCCAGCACTTTATCTTCTCTATCACACTTTCTCTCTTGTGATAGAAAGGCTTTAAAAGGAAGCTTCCAGACAATCAGATCGAAGGGGAATCACTGGGTCAGTCTCTATTAAGTCTCTGAGGATTGGCCACTTAGCTTTTGTGAAGGTGAAGGAGATAATTAATGCCTTGGCTCTGCACACCCGGGGTACAGCTCCACAGAGAGCCCCTCATGACTGCTTCGGCCCTCAGGGACGCTCGGGGAGGCCTAGACAGTAGAGGGCTGGTGCGGTCTGTGGCTCCCAGAGCCCTCCCCTTGGCAGCTCTGTCTGGCTGCCCCCAGGCTGGCTCTCGGCAGGCTCCGTTTCCCTAATCCTAAAGCCGGGGTTTTCCTGACCTTGGGATTTAGTCTGGGAGTCCCCCCAGCTCAATCTCTAAGCGTCAAAGTGGCAACTTCCGTTCATCCGTCACAGGCCTGGTGTGGGAGGCTCCGGGGCTGTGGCTGTGGGCTTTTGCACCTCTGCCTTGTCAGGTCAATGCTGGCGTGATTATCATCCCCATTTTCAGTGAGTTCTAAGATGCCGAGTGACTTGCTGATGGCCCTGTGGCCAGTCTGTGCCAGAGCTGGGATTGTAAGCCTGCTGCTCCAGACTCTGAATCTAGCCCCTGGTCACTGAGGGTACGGCCCAGTGTGCCCTGGTTGTTTCTCATCCTCATCCTCAGTTTGCCCTCCCTGGCCTTCCAGGGTGCTGTTTGCCCTCGATGACTTCTTCTGCTCTGCCTGCAGTGGACATTCTCCCCAGTGAAGGCCTCTCTTTGTACTGGACCAGTGAGTGAGCCCGCATTCACGTATTCTGCACTTTAGCTCTCGTCCGGATCTTCTTGATTTCGTGAGAGATGCTTTTACCGTAAGCATTGTGTACTGCGTGGGTACACAGCCTTCACTTGGACCAGTGCTCATGGCCTTGCTGGAAGCCAGCAGCGAGCCAGTCATCTTAGCAGACTCTGCGTGGGTTCTTATACTATGACCATCCGCCAGTACTCGGGCCAAGGAGAGCACCCTGAAGAAGGCCCTGCCTTCAGGGAGCCTGCAGTCTGTTTTTAAACCCTGTCAAGAAGTGCTCAAGAGTGCAGAGCATGGAGTTTACCATTGTAGAAAAGCCATTGGCAAAGGGAACATAGTTAGGAAGCTGGAATTCTCCAGGGACCGGAAATAGTGGTTCCTGAGACTCTGAACATCTAAACTCTCCTGGGAAATGTAGAGGCCGACAGGGCCAGGTCTGAAAATGGTCTGTAGCCCCAGGGAATGATGTGCAGAGGCCCACGGGCCGTGGGCCGGCCTCGTGTTTGCTCTGCCTGACTGTGCTTTCGGGTGCAGACGGTGCCGTCCCTGTTGTATTAACTCGTGTTCATTGTTTCCTCGAAGGTGGATTGGACTTTAAACATTGGCGAGCAAGCGCTGGACATCTGCATTGTCTCCTTCAACCAGTTGGCTTCCTCTGTTTTTGTGCTCGGTGAGAGAAACTTCTTTTGCCTTAAGGACAATGGGCAGATTCGATTCATGAAGAAACTGGACTTCAGCCCTAGCTGCTTTCTCCCATATTGCTCAGGTGGGTTTCAGAAGAGATGTGTGTGCATGTGTGTGTGTGTGCACATGTGCGTGTGTGTGTGTGTGTGTGTGTGTGTGTGTTGGTGTCTCTGTGCTGAGGCTACTTTTCTGTAAACAGAGGAATAACCTTTTCTCTGCCCAGGGAGCCGGTGTATGGATGGCTGGTTCGGAGCAAGAGCAGATGCTGTGCCAATGCTTTGGAAGAGGCCTTGGCTTGTAGGCCTTCACATGGAAAAAATAGCCAATCTGTGTCACAAATAATCACTCATTTGTGTAACCATTTTTAAGGTTCACAAAATAACTTTCTTCACAGTAACTTTGGGAAGGTAGGAATCATTGTCCTCATTTTACAGATGGGAAAACTGAGGCCCAGAGAGGCCAAGGAACTAGGTGGCTGCTAGGTGGTACAGTGGGTAGAGCACTGGGCCTGGAGTCGGGAAGATTTGAGTTCAAATCCAGCCTCAGACACTTCCTAGCTGTGTGACCCTGGACAAGTCACTTAACCCTGTTTGCCTTAGTTCCTCGTCTGTAAAATGAGGATAATAATAGCACCCCCTTGTATCCCCCATCCCCATGGGTTGTTGTGAAGATCAAATGAGATCACATTTGTAAAATGCTCTGCAAACCTTAAAATGCTATATGCATGCTCACTATTGATGACGGCATAACCTTCCTGGGTCACTTATCAGTAACTTATTCCCAGGTAACTTATCAGTAGAAGAGCTGAGACTTGTGAGAAAAGTGGTGACATTGAGAATACCGGCTGGGATGAATAGAGGGCCTTAGTTGCACACACTCTCCCCTTGGCCCTCAGGCTGGCTCTGAGCCGTTAGCTCAGTTCATTTAAGTCGTGGGTGTTGCTGTCAGCCTCGTGGGGAAATGTTAGACGTGGGCCTGGAGCCCAGGTCTCTGCCGACTCGAGGCGTAGCCTTCTGTCCCCAGCAGTTCAGTCCTTTGCTCTGTGGCCAGCAAGGCAGCGTGTGGCCCGTCTCTCAGAACTCTGCTTCCCTGCTTTCCTCCCACAGCGTCGGAAGGAGTGGTCAACACCCTGATTGGGAACCACAGCAATATGCTGCACGTTTACCAGGACGTGACGCTGAAGTGGGCCACGCAGCTTCCCCACGTGCCCGTGGCGGTGAAGGTGGGCTGCTTGCAGTAAGTGCTTCCGTTCATCCCTGGAGGGTGGGTGGGTGGGGACTTAGGTCCTGCAGGAATTCTGCCGACGTGGGCGAGCTGCTCTGAAGTCATCGTTAGTCACAGCACTTACTAGGAAGACGGATGAGTGTCTTTCATTGAGGGGTCATTAAGAGGCCCACACAAAGTACCCTGAATATTGTGGATTTCACAGCTTCTGATAAATGATATTTGCTGCAAAAGCTGGGATGAAAGTGGGTTATGTTTCAAGAGAATTGTTTTCCTTTCGGGGTGTTTCCTTCAGATCTCCACGGCAAAGAAGCCTTCTATGGGAGTTTGTTTTAAGTAAATAGTATGATCTGGTCTTATTCAGAGGTCGATGGAATCTCAGATTATTCCACTCCACATCTTGTTTTAAAGCAGTTTTGTGAATATTCAGTGGAATTTTTATATTGCATGGTCCATTTCCAAGCAGAACTACAAAAGACCTCGTGTTTAAGGTAAGTCGGATTTAAGCAGAGCCATCTTGGATACAAAAGCAAAGAGAGATGCTCCGTCCAAACACCGACTTTCTGAGGAAAGAAACAGAAAGCCAACTTTGTCATTTTTCTAGATGATCAGGAAAGGCAGGGATTAGGTTTTGATCATGAACTCTTTGGAGCCTTACATTCAGAAATTATGTGGCTTGGTTACTGTCTGTACATAATTAGCTCTTTGTCGTGGGCACTGTTAAAATGAATGAAATCACCAAAAGTGGAGGCCTTGAAATCTGTACATACGGGCCGTTCTGTGATCACAATGAACTCTAATTTTTTTTTTTTAAAGAGACAGGTAATTCCTTGTCCAATTTCAGTTAATAAAATCCTTCCTCTTGCCTTCCCTCGTGTCAGACGCAGGTGATTTTGGGACTCATCTGCTTCAAAAATGAAGTTGGGAAAAATAAAAGTGTTAAGAAAAATTTACTTTTCATGGTGGCAAAATATTGGTGTTTAAGCTGCAATATTTATTATTGTTAAGAATCACAAAAGCAGTTTGCCAAGTATTCAAATTTAAATTCTAAGGTTACTGTACATTTTGAATTATAAAGAAAACTCAGGCTATTAGAAAAATCACTTGCATTAATTTCACCATGGACTAGAACTTGGGTATTCTCACCAATTCTGGTTTAAGTCTTGAATCACATTTTGTGAACTGGTAAGTATTTGGCAATCACTATAGACCTGCTTTTGGCAGATCAAATTTGAGAAAAATATTGTTTAACAAACTCTTCCAAATGTACCTTAGTTTGTGAAGAGTAAACATTCTGTTGCTGTATACTTCGTGTCATCATTCATGTTTTTACTTTTAATCAGTAGCAGCTGTGGGCTGTCATACGCTCTCGTGTGGTCTTGGAAAATGGATCAGGGCATGGAAGTCTCTTGTGACTCATGGCACCCCTAGGCATCAAAAGTAGATTCAAAGTTGAACAAAAATCGATGTGTCTTTAACAAGATTCCCCGCTGCCCCTTATTTTGACCCACCTAAACAGAAAAGAAGGAGTTCAAGGCTTTAGAATTCAGAGACCCCAATTGCCACACAGCACAGCCACTGGCCTGGCTAGCCCCTGCCTTCAAGGAGGGTGTTAGCCAAGCTGAGCTCAGAGTTCTGGGCCAGTGTCCGGGTCTAGGCTCATAGGGGGAGGCCTTTTGTCAGTCTCGCGTAGCCATCCATGGAGGCTGACTGCGTTGGCACCAACGGGGATGGCATCTGGCATCAGTAGAGGGAGTGCCAACACATAGAACAGTGGAGTGCCGAAGGAAGCCGAGGAGAGTTTCATTGTGATTTACTAGGCCCAGACACGGGCGATAACACAGGTCTGTATTGTGTCCTGTAGCGTTTGAGTTCTCAGAGTTTAAATAGTTTTGATAAATATGTTTAGACAGCAGAGTTTACATATCAAGGAAATGATTGCCATTTTCTAATGTTTCCTGTGGGTAAATAAGAAAATGATGAGTTTGGGCCCAGTTGATGCAATTAGACTTTCTGATCCAGAAATTCCCATTTTTGTTGGGTGCTCTGGGCTCTTTGTTTCTCTTCATCTCCCTTTGGCCTGTCTTGCTTGGCATGTCCTTAACTCCATTGGATATTGTCTTTTGACTTTAAATATGATTTTAAATGTTGGCAGGTAAGGTAAAAGGAATCGGGGCAAGGCCCACTCATTAACAGAATTAATCGACTCTGGACGTGACCATGATTTTTAAGTTTCCCGGTTGTTAACGTAAGTTCTTAGGCTGAAGAGTAGCATCCATTACCACGTGGGATAAATAATCAGCAGGACAGGACAGGACAGGACATGATAAGAGTGCACGTTGATCCAGTGTTTCATGGGAAATGCCTTCTCAGCAGCAGGGATGGGAACCGGGCTCTCCAGATGCTCTTGGAGTCTGTGACTGGAACTAGTTAAGTGACCTTGGGCGAGTCACTTAACCTTTGCGTGCATGTTTTCCTTGTCTGTCAAATGAGGGAGATGATAGTTGGGGTAATCATAGTCATCCTCCCTGCCTGGCTCGTGTGGTTTTTGGGTCATAGATTTAAAACCGAAAGAGAGTGCAGAGGCCATCTCATCCAAGCCCTCCATTTTATAGATGAGGAAACTGAGGTAGAGATAAATGACTCACCCAAGGTCATGTCAGTAGTACATAGAAGATCTGTGGTTACAAGTTCACTCCTCTACCTTCAAATCCAGTGGTTTTTTTTTTTTCCAGTGTACCACACTGCTTCACCTACAAATAGAAGCTACTATTGGTATAACAGATGTTGTTAACAGCAAAAGTTCCACATAATGAAAATATTTTTAAGCTCTGGCTAGGGGCCCAGGGCCCCCTTCCCCTTTTGTTACAGAGAATTCTCTAGTTTATATAACTGTGAGTAAAATGAGTATATTTTTCCAGAGCTTGTATGTATAGCCGCTTCCCATAATGAAAAGTATTTAATATTTTCTTCTTAGTCCTTTATTTGTCTGTGGGATGCCTCACCCTTTCTGTTCTGCCTACCTCCTCGAGAAGCCGTCCCTCCCTGCCTGGCTCCTGGGTCTTCTTTTCTGAACAACATCATATGGTGTGGACCATCTTTCATTCTAGACTATCTCCTACTGTTTGCTCCCTACTTATCTTGATAGACAGTCCCTGAAAGTCAGGGATCCTGTTATGTTTGTGTCCCACGTAGCATCTTAGCACATTGTAGAGGTGGGGGTAGAATTAGGGCATGAAGCTATTATGGATCAACATAGTGGATCCTCAATGAATCTGGATTGGCTTTTAGTGATCATTATTTTCCTTTATAGTTTTTCACAAAGCATCTCTTTAATAAGACATTCTAGAATTTTCCCAGGAAAATTCAGCCAACCTCACTGGCCCCTTGATTAAAGAATCCATTTTCTTCCTCTTCTGAACCAAGAGGACTCAGTTTGCCCATCTCCAATCTTCCAGCGCCTCTCTTGTTCTCCGTGGTTTCCCGAAGATCTGTCAGCAGTTTGTTGTAGCCTTACCTGATGCCTTGGGCTAGAAGTCCACATCTCATCTTCTATCTGCCTTTCTTTCCTGAAGCCTCTGCCTCCCCTCAGTTGTTCCTAGAAACAGCCCCCTCCCTAAGTGCTTTCTCTAGTTGTCCAGGACTCTGGGTTCCTCCATTCCCTCTGGCGGTTGTCTTTGGCCCCAAATGAATCACCACAAGCAGGGATCGGCCATCAGGCTTGATGGTCTGGGGAGGCTCCCATTGCATTCTGGACCCCTTTCCTGGGAAGACACCTCATCTCCTGATTCTTCATGTCAGGTTGACATATGATGCCTTGGTATCCCTGGGCAGGGAATCGTTCACCGCCACAACTTTCTTTTCTTTCTGTGAGTTCTGCTGGGTTTTCTCTCTCCTCCTAGCATCTATTAGTATGTCATCAGTGGAGCTTTCAAAGGTATTTCTTCCTCAGTGTGTCCATCTCAGACCCCTTGTGCCCTTGGGACAGTGGTAGATCTCCATGGTTCTGGGGGGAGGCCCTTTGTGTCCCCTTCCTTCTCCATGGGGCAGGTCTGATGTGGGGCTGGATTCTCCTTTGCCATGGGCTCATTTTCTTTCCTTGTTTTCTTCTGTGTTCTTTGAGAGAACACATTGTTCATTCTGGAGTGCGTGAGGAGAGACATTTCTCCATCTCTTTCACCTCTCTGTGTTTCCATATATGCAGCTATAACTGGCCAAGTTATATAAGCAGTTTTATGTTGGCAGACTCTTGGGGGGGGGCTGTCCCCTCATTCTCCCTGCCTTGTAGTTTGGTTTTTCCGAAGACTCATGTTCTGAAAGCAGAGTTGCTTTTTTATTCAATCAATGACAAGTATTTATTAAGCACCGTTTTATATCTTATGTGGAAGATATAGTACTAGGCACTGGGGTACAAGTGCAAAGGATGAAAAAATCTCTGCTCTCGGGGAGCTTACATCTAAAAGTCGATATCTGTTTTGAGTCTTGTGGAAATACTTTTTGGAAGAAAGTATGTTGCTTTTAGAAAAAAAAATAGTGTTTTTAAAGGTCATCTTTATTCCTTTCTTCCCCCTGCCCCCCATCTCTCTCTCTCTCTCTCTAATTTTATACACACACACACACACACACACACACACACCCACGCACACCCATGTGTTTATATATGCACTTGTATAATGTTTTCTTCTTGCACGACCAGTGTTCGGGTTTCGGTGTTGGCTCCTTGGCTTCTCTCTGAGGTCATGTAGTGAGCGTGACCCCTCCGGTAGAGTGAGATTCTGCTTTTTGAGAGTCGCCCTGTGGAGCTTTGCTAATTGTTGGGAGCGTTTGGTGGCTTAAGTTTGGAAATTGCCTTATGATCATTTCAATTGTTATTTTACCCTCATGAAATAAACTAAGAGGAATCCTTTAAAAGGGGAGCCGCTGCTTCTTGTTTTCCCTTTTCAGGTGGAGGTTCCTCTGATCAGATGAAATGTCCAGGTGTGAAAGTTAGTCAGTAGCCTCCTGTCTGGCCA